ATGGAAATGTTTGGTTAGAGATCTTTAAAGTAAAGTATCTAGTTCCCCAAAGTTTGGGAATATTCAGATCAAAGAGGGCTTTGAATGTATAGAGAGAGTTTCCACAACCTGAAATTCAGTGTGAAGTTAGATTTGCGGATTTTGTTCAGATCTATCTTTGCTTATTATTTTGAAATATTTATGCAGAGATGTACTGAACAGGGCACCACAGAGTATATAAAATTTAGATCGTTTATCAGGGAAATTTTACTATCTGTCCTTTTTGGAAGTGCTGTAAATGAGACAAATATTTCTGCATTTTCATAAGGCATTAGAATTGATTTCCATTCTAACTGTGAGGTACTGCAATTGCAAATAAAGTAGCTTGTCTATAAAAATGACAGTACCTTTTAACACTTGCTTTTCTTCTTGCAAATTTGTTGTAGACAAGCACTGAAACCATCTCCAGTCTAACTTGTGGTATTGCTCAGATCATACACCTGCAGTATTGGTTTACAATATCTTGCCAGCAAAACACAAGGTGTCACCTCCAACAGCCAGCAATCACAAATTTACCAAACTCATCATCTTTTGAGATGTCCCACTACTTAATATGATTACAGGGAAAACTGTCTGCCTTGTGTTCCCAAGGGATGGGCAGACATTTAGCACCTGGGAGAACTGCATGCTCCCATGACTGGCAAAGACAGGCACCTTGCTGCGAGAGGAGCTCCGGACACAAGCCCTCGTAGCCACCTGTGCTAACTGACACCCGGCCACAAGAAAGTGCTCTGCGGTGGGAACCTCTCCGCTACCACAGGTGCCTGGCTCCGCAGTGCAGGAGCTCACCTCCTGAGGCCAGCAGGAGCCCTTCTCAGGGGTTTCCTCGCTTTACTGGGAGGCTTGAAAACGCCGAGGTTGACTTGCAGCCCGTGAGGGAGGGCAGTGAGTTGCCTCTTCAGCAAGGTCCCAGAAAGTGAACAGAGTCTAACAAATCTCTGGCCCAGCCCTTGTCAGTCACCACTTTTTCCACTGCACATCTTCAGGAGAATCACATTCATGATGGTTGTAACACAAATCTCTGCTGAACAGAGGTGAATGGCCACACTCAGCTAAACTATTCAGCAGGCTGGACTATGCCTGGAGCACTAGTACAGCACTGCTGGTTCAGCTTCTTTGGTCGGTGTAACTGCACCGTCTCACAGCCTCTTTGTAGGGCTTTGAAAATTCATACCCTGGTAGGAGCAAGCTACTGCTCAGACTCCCAAGTAAAATTGAAGGTAGAGGACAGCAGGATACAAATCAGCCTGCTATCCAAGAAGACACTTTCATACTAAATATATGTTTACCCACACTATGATGTACATGAAGTTGCTGAGCAACTAGGAATTTGGTCCTATTTACTTCTGCATTTAGTGTTGCATCACAAAGTGACAGCCTACCTTTATAAGGAAGTGTATGTTTTTACAAAGGATGCCAGATCTTTTTAAAACAATTCCAAGATAAAGCGAAGTCCACTTCCAATCCTTGGCAAGATGCAGAGGGAAAAAGAAAACACTTTAAAGGAGGTCAGAATCCTTAGTAGTTATGTATGTAATCAAGTTTTGTGCTTTGAACAGGACTTGCAAATGTATGTGGTATTTTTCATAAAGCAAAAAGCAATGTTCTAAGCATACATTACTACAGAAACTCCAAAATGACCTGTGCAAAATTAGCATCTGAACAGTTATAAGATATGTTTTTTACATTTCATTTGCACTGGCTCTTCATTGAAATCCTTCCCCATAATGATAATGGGCCATACACATAACTATATATTCAGTGAAGTTAAATCAGGAATTGATTTGGCTCCATATTCTTTCAGCTAAGACTGTAAATACCAGGCTCCTGTCTGCTCTGTATGAATACAAATGGCCTCAGTGGAGTTCTGCCAGTTTATAGCAGCAAAAACTGAAGGCCAGAGGATCAAAGGGCCTTTTCCGTAAGAGCAGGAATTTGTTTCTGGGCCATCTTCTTCAAAAGGTTCTGAATTATCGGGTGAGTACTCTCCATACTAAATCATTTTCTTTCAGTGGCACTGTGTGTATGCAAGTGTATAAAAGGATACCTTTGTTCATTAATTGAAATATATTTAGAACCATAACAATGTCTGAGTCAGACTTGTCTGCATCTCTTTTCACTTCTTCAATTTTTATCTTACTCTTTCACAACCATTATCTCACCAAATAATTACTGTTACTTTTACACCCACAAGGAGTATCTCTGTGTATTAACAATATTCAAGCTTTCACAGGAACCAGCCAAGGAAACAACCCTTCAAATTCCTGCCCTGATGGAAGGACTATTTTACTTCCCATAAAACTCAAAGAGTTTCCCCCAATACCTGAGGATCCATCAAGACTGTGGAGAGAAGCAGTCAATATCCTTCTGGTAACACCAAAGTAAGCAACAAGTTTAATAAAAAAAAAACAAAAACATTTTCTGTAGATAACATCTACCATAACCAGTCAGATAAGCTCCCTGACTGACATGGATGCACATCTCTACTGCACTTTAGACATCAATGAAGTCATGAATACAAAGGGATTAGAGAGATGCATCACATAGCCTTCACTTCCAATGGGTTCACCCAATGTCACAGATTTTGCAGTTCCTCATCAGTGTGGTAGGGAGAAAACTGTTCCCTACTGCAGCGCCCCCTAAATCTATCCCAAGAATCACTCCAAGTTTCCTGTTCAGTGAAAGAGTTTTACCTTTAATGCTTCTGCAAAACAGGAAAAATGTGCAGAAAAACCATAAATACAAATGACAAATGTCCCTTGCCAACCCCTGCTGGAAATATTAAAAATTAAAGAGAACAGAAGCTACAAAAGGAAAAGATATATATTATTCAGATTTCAAATCACCTCACAAACACTGAAACAATTCCAGGTAACTAACTCCATGTGCAAGTATAAAATTTAACATGCACATAAAGTATGTTCTTAAAAATGACAGCCTGGTAATGGAGAAGAGGAAAATATGCCTCCTCTGTGAAGGATAATCAAATGAAAGGTATAAGCCAAAAACAACCACAGGGGCAGGCCAATAAAATGTCATGTTCAGAAAATGTAGCCTGCATTGCCTAATCTTCACTGTGATATTCATGTCTGTTAACAAAGAGCAAAAATCTAACTCATGAGTGGTGTAAATGTAAGTGAATTATCCCCATTTCTCTGTGTAAGATGAATGTCACTAAAGAGTTCCAATTTTGTTGGGTATTCTGCAGCAAAGTGCTTCTTTATATCAAACGAAACCATATAATGACTATACTGAATGACGCTTATGGAGCATAATAGGTACTCTGAACATTTGGTGAGAATCATCTGCCTATGAGAGAAGGAACTGAATGGCTGGATGTATCCCTAATGTACAGGGAAAACTGATAACGAAACGAATAGAAAATTCACTTAAGAGATTCCAGAGCCGATTTGGCCTGAAGAACATTATGAACCCCTAGACAAGTCTTCTCATTGACTCTGCTGGGAATAGGATTCCCACAGGACCGATCTATTCTTTGTGTGTCTCACACCTTTCTAAAAAAGAACCCCACACAAGAAGCACCTAATTCATCAGTCCACAAAAACACAAAAGTTCACTTTTATGGCTGATTCTTTGCCTGTAGGATAGTAAATTCTGTACACAGAGGTCTCTCAGACTGAAGGTTCCTTACATTATCTTTGCTATACATATACATTTTAATGAGGTTGTCTCCCTTATTTTTCTGTTGAGGCTTTCAAAGGCTGTTCTCGCTATCATTATACAGCACTGCTCAATTTCTTTCTCACAGATTTGCTCATGGAGCTCTTCCAGAACTTACTTCTTCTCCTTCCCATTTATACACACATTACATGTGTCTTTCAGATGAATTAGTAATTAGATCTGTTCCAAAAATTTTAACTGAATGTTTCACTGGAAAATTCCATTTGGATCTAAAGCACTTAATTTAAAATATCTTGGGTTCAACAAAACACTTCATTGAGTTCTAATAAATTCACATAAAACAAAATAAAAAAAAAAAAAAAAAAAGTTTCAAAAAACCAAGCAGAATCTGCTACACAGCCAATTACATTTTAAAAAGCATTTTAACTACGGCACAGCCATCTTTTTGAGTGTAGATGTTAAAAAAAAAAAAAACCTCATTACCTTCTACCAGCAAGGTCCTGTACAGACCAGTTTTTCTATACAACGTACTTGTAATTTTATATCAGTCTCCTTAAACATCTTCTGTGAGACCTCTTTCTTTTCTGTTTTTTCTTTGTTAATCTCACTTTTAAATTATATCACTCTAATTGAGGTAAATGTCATTCCTCAAAAGAAATGCTATTCAGAGCATAATTGTGGTCTACAAAATTACTGATCCAGCAAATCTCTCCCTTGGAACACCAAAACACCTTTCTTTGCTTTTATAAATTGATGCCAATGAAGCAGCCAACTGGCCACAGAGATTTCATCCACAGCCTTTAAACAACTTATGGTTTGTTGTCTTGTCTGTCTGCTCAGACACTCTTCCCATATTTATCATCATATTTATCACTTCAGAAATAATGGAAATAGGCCAAGGACAAAATGTTGGTCAGTATATTATAGTGAATGCAGTTGTACCAGAAAACGACCAATAATACAATGCAGTGCTGTGATGTTAAACCAACCTCTACAGCAAAGCTTCTACAGTTAGCTGAAAAAAAAAGAATTCTAAACTTTTCATAGAAACTGTACATACTACCTTGCATCAGAGATGCACACTCTTCTTTCCCACCCATGTAGCTGACCTTTACTGAACTCCAGTTTGCTGGCTTTCAGTGATGCAGAGTATAAGCTATAAGCTGGTATTTAAAATCATCTGCCGTAAAAAACAGTAAAATCTTACAGCCTTTCAATGCCAATTCCTTTAATGGATGAGATTGCTATTTTTTTCTCTGTGTGGAAGTGTTTTTTTGAGCAGTTACTGTTTTCATTTTAGGAGTTGTACCATGTCAATGTTGATCGACACAAAAAGTTTATTGGAAACAGGAATATCTATTTCTTTACAGAGGAAAAAAAAATTTCCCAGATTTATTCACTCCTGTAATTCTGTATATTTAAGAGAAAGAGCTCAAGGACTGATTTGTCAGCTGCAAAAGAGCTCTTAATTGCATTACTGAAAGAATTAGGTAAAAGGCAGCTTTAGGAGCAGCTTTGCACTAGTCAGGAACCAAGTCAGTACAGATATAAGCAACAGTAGCCATCGTGCTAGTCTGAAATCCACCATCTTGTTTTGGTCACTCCAGCATACCTATCCTGAGCCAATACAGACTCCAAGGCATGCTGGTAAAATAAACAAAAAATCTCAGGGATGTCATTTACCGACCACGGAGGTAAGAATGTTAAATAGGGGTACAATGAAGAGCTATATTTATCCCATAAAAATGTCACTTCAACAGCCTGCACAGAACGCCTTTGACTCAGTCTTCAGCTCATGCTGAATCCGTTTTCTTCTCTTTAGACAATTCTTTAATGGTCTTCAGCTCAGCTTCAGAGAACTTAGGGGTGACTGCCACATTGTCATAGTCAAATTCTTCATCAAGTGAGAATGGTTGAACATCATCCCCCAGTAGCTGTAATGAGAAAAACCAGATACATAAATAATATTGCTGCAAGTGATAATAAGGTAGCTTAAAATATAAACTTCTAATTAATATTTAATTAAACTATTTTTTCTGACTCTAACACTCTCAGCTGATTAAGCTCTTTTTAAGTAAAAGAATAAATTCAATTATTCAATTTGACCTAATTTAAGCCATTTAATGTGCCCCATTTGTACTGTATTGTATCTGAATGAATATCATTAACTAATTTTGCTCAAGGCAAGGAATCTAAAAACCACCCTAGCATACATCTATTATATTCCTGCCACTTGTAGCAGCAAGGCTGAGGGGATATGGACATGTTATGTGCAGCTATGTTAAATTTCAAAGACAGATTCCATATCCTTAAAATTTGGGCTAGTATTACGTAAAGCTTCAGCATACATGCATCTGATACTAATGTAACATCATTTCCAGAACACAGTTTCAGCGAAGGAAAGATCTGAAATGAGCAAAATGACACATAATCAATTTTCAGATTCCAATAATTTCTTTTCACCATCTCATAGATATGCAATTGGCTGGTTTGTATTTCTTGCATGATGAACATAAGGATCTTACTGCATTTGCCAATATGTGCTTTGTTGACATATTGTATAGCATTTTATTGCTTCTGGTTGAAATATCTTAGAATCAACACCCTGCCTATAAAATAAAATAATGAAAATGAATAACTATGGCAGGCCCTATGCTGATAAGAAACTGCAGGGGGCCACAACACAAAAGGTTTATGGTAAGCAGTTACATAAAATGAATTTCAGGGTAACACAGGAGACACATCCTCACTACTAAAACTGTACAGGAATGCTCCCTATCCCATGAGAAGTCAATATAACATGTCTAGAAATGTGTTTCAAAGATTTAAGTACTTCAGCACTAAATCAGCAAAAGATTTAAACATATGCTTATTTTTTCAAGCTTCTGATGAATCCTTGGTGAAGCCAGTGACTAATGACGTATTGAAATTCAGAATACACATTTTTTGTTTGCTGACAGGCAGGAAGAACAGTCAGCATCTTATGGTGACTGCTCAGTATCCTGCACAATTTGATGTGACATTTTGTAAGAATTGGCATTGACACAGCTAATGCCACAGTCAGAGAAGTGGTAGCTGGATTCCTCTCTGGTGGCCAGGCACCTGATAGACATGGCAGAGAGCATCTGGGTAATATCTACCTCCTTTATTAATAAATTTTAATGTTGCCTGAATGATCAGGAAACAATTTTTTGGGTTTGTATCATTTTATTAATCATCTGTATTGCTTAATTTTCTAGGGACCTGTCTTACACTGGCTTAAACAGATGATGGAGCATATGAATCAGCCTAGATGCAGACCTGTAGACCATGGGCATTTATAATGGAAAAAACTGTAGATAGAGTTGGTCTGGAAAACAGCATTCATTCTGCTTGCAAAGATTATCTTGTTTATGTCCGTGGACTATCCCAGGTAAACCATCATTAACTTTTATAAATAGCACATTTGAAATATGTTTACATGAGATAAAGCCTGCACACAAGCTTTCATTCCCATTAAATCGAAGGTCAGCTCCTTGACCTCCACACCATATTCAAGTCCATTTTCATCTTTTTCACAGGCAGACACTCCTGGAATTCTTTGTAAAGTCAGTAAGGTCACCAGTAAGCAGGTAAAAAGTGGTACCACCAATAAGGGTTCTACTACCTGTCTTTCATTTGCAGAAATCCAAAACACTCTTCTAAAATACAATGCAAGGCACAAAGACTTTTCATTTAGTTTGGTTTTAACAATATTTGTTACCACACTGTGCTGGTTTTGGTCGGGGTAGAGTTAATTTTCTTCACAGTGGATGGTATGGGGCTGTGTTATGGATTTGTGTTGAACACGGGGTTGATAATACTGAGATGATTTTGTTATTGCTGAGCAGGGCTTACACAGAGCCAAGGCCTCTTCTGCTTTTGGTACTGCCACACTGGTGAGGAAGCTGGGGGAGCGTGGGAGATTGAGAGGAGACACAGCAGGGACAGCTGACTCCAACTGACCAAAGGGATACTCCAGACCATATGGCATCACACTCAGTATATAAAGTGGGGGGAAGAAGAAGAAGGGAGGACGTTTGGAGCGATGCCATTTGTCTTCTCAGGTAACTGATACATCTGATGGGGCCATACTCTCCTGGAGGTGGCTGAACACCTGCATGCCCATGGGAAGCAGTGAATTAATTCTTTGTTTTGCTTTGCTTGTGTGCACAAGCTTTTGGTTTCCCTATTGAAGTGTCTTTAACTCAAACCATGAGTTTTCTACCTTATCCCCTTCTGATTCTCTACCCCATCCTACTGGTGTGAGAGTGAGTGAGTGGCTGCTTGGGGCTTGGTGTCTGCCTGAGGTTAAACCACGACACATATCTATAGGTAACTAAGCTAAGAAGAGTTTAGACTACAGAAAGCCTTCATAGGGATTCTACAAAAGCAACTCTATTTTCCTCTACCAACATAGTTATGGAAAGTATGCACACATTCCCTATGACCTTGTGCTGACCTTCATGTAATTCCAGGAAACATTTTATGTAGACATAGCAAAATAGTGGAAAAACTTTTGTTTACAAAACTCGACCCCAAAATCCTAACTGAAATTAGATGCCAAAACAGAACATACTCAACTTCACCCCATTAACAATATTTCTGTTATCCACTCACTGCACATTTGAAAAGTTTGTCCACACTGCATATTTATCAGTATGCTCCATCTCTCAAATGAATACTCAAAGCAGTAGGGATTCTTTTTTTGCTTCTTCTCCTAAGAAGCCATTGACTTCAACCTTCCTTGTAGACGAGTAATCTAAAACTTTTATACTACAAACTGGAATTTTTATGTATTTCAAAAGGAAGACATCTTACAATAGAACACCAAATCCTCTGAGCTGATCAAGTTATTATCTGGTTATTATGCCTAAGGAGCTGAGAGAAATATGTGAATTTCAGGTGTCTAATTTAACATCTAATTGAAATCTTTTTGAGAGCTCTCTGGGAATAGAATCCTGCTCTAATAGAAAACTGCCAGTTTGCTTAAGATTGCTTCTGTGATTTACTCTCCGAAGAAAAAATCATTTTCATTTACCGTTCCTGCATTTCCAAATTAAAGGGGGGAAAGAATGTAATAATTATATTAATAACTGAAGTATTTTGCTAGTGGCTGTTTTATGAAGTAATATCATAAATAAAATACCTTAAAGTTGACATTTTCAAAAGTCTATTAATAACTGGCAACTCAGTTCTTTTATTAATCTGAGTGGAGTTACAGTTAACTGAACAGCCTGTCTCTGTCCTTCTAAAACTTGTATTTCTGCGTAATTATGGCACCTATGATTCACTTGGTCAAATTATGCAAAGTATGCACATACACTCAGCAGTGATTTCATTGCATACTCATAGGAAAACTCACTAGTTCACTGACAACAAATTTAAAAAAAGCTGGGGGGAAGACGTACGCTATGATCTCATATAAGCTTAACATATACTGGGGTACGCAGGAGAAAAAAAGTTTGTCTTGAGCTTGGGGCACTGGACTGGAAGTCAATAAATCTTGTCCAGTTTTCCACTTCTGCTTCATCATTCTGGACAAGTCATTCAATCTTTGTGTCTTTACTGGCCTCTGAGAAGACATAACTCTTCCATCTTCTTTCACTTAGTCGATCCTGTCTTTAAGTTCTTCCATGTTCTTGTTGCATTTATGCACAGCACGTAGCAGAAACAAACCTCAGTTGAGGCCTATCAGTAAGACCTTAAACCAAAGAAACTCAATGGAAGCCGTATTTTAGGTGATAGATGCTGCCATGCCACAGATAAAGATAAAATGACAGGCATGGTAAATACTTTTTTGAATGCTGAAACTACAGACAAAAAAAAAGGGAGAATAGAAGGGTAGAATTCTTCTTTCCTAATCCCAGCCATATAAAAACTAGGTTTCTAGATTAAGGTAGTTAATTAGCAAAAAATGGCCCAGCCAGAGCTTGTGGATGGAGATATATTACATCTTATGACAAATGCCTATAGCAAATGGGATGAATCACTTTATGGAGTTGCTTATCTCTGCCTCTTGATGACTGAAGGACTAAATTAGACTGCATCTAAAGCTGAAGTTAGGTGAGATGAATCCCACTTTGAATGCAAGTTTATATTGAGTGGATGGAAAATATGCATCAACTGCACTCATGTGTATGCAGGGAGGGAAATAAGAACAAATAAAGACCCTAGGAAGCAGGCATTAAGACATAAAAAAAGCTATGATGTCTTTCATGAAAGACAGTTTTTAGTAGAAATAAAGGAGAGAATAAATTCCTGGGTAGAGAAGGAAAATGTTCTATGATAATGTACTTCAACCATCGAGTGCATGCTGGTTCAAACTGCAGTGGCCTGTGGGAGGTCATGTATGCTGCTCTGTCGATACTAAAATCCTGTAATACGTGTATGTCTAAAGTGAGGAAAGAAAGATGAAGGAACTTTGGAGGACAACACAAATAATTTGCTGGGTCATTCACCAAGCCACTTCCCAACAGCTTTTGACAGAAAAACATTTTCAGGTAGACAAGTTGTTCTTTAACAATTAGCCAGGTTATAAACTGGGTCTTAGCAGAGCTTCATTTTTCAAACTTTGCCCAGCAATACATTCAGAGATACATACCTTACCCTGAAGTGCCTCACAAGTATTTCCACAGCATAGACATTTGACATGCTGCTATTTTTCATAAGGAATAGTCTTCCATTCTCTAAGAAAATCAATTAGGCAGCCACATTCTGTTGCCCTTCCCTAACAGAGTTGTTTTGATGGACAGAGAACAGTCTCATTTCAAAGCAGAGATGTCTCCAGGGAAAATATTTTTCCCTCTCTAAACTAGTTCTGCCATGAGCAACGAAAGACTTAATTTTCAAGGCAATGACAATTTGAAGCACTGAGGGATTTTCAAATGGACCAGTTCAGTCTTGACAGTTCTAAAAATCAGGCCACAGTTATATTATCTAAATGAAGACACAAATATGTTTATAATTTAGGGGAAAAACTGCCTTCATCTTAAGTAGCCTGGCACCAACCAAATGGTTGTGAAAATTGTAAATCCTTCTTCTTGAAAAATGTAGCAACTCTTAACCAATGTAATAATACTCAGTTTCTTTCATAACCTAACTTTTCCTCAAATGGACATGAATTTTGCATGCAGTGGGATCTTCATCTATTTTTCATGAGATATAGTTTAAAGAATCATATGCAGTCCTTTATGAACACTGCAGGCTGCTACAACCCTCCTTCCTCTTTGGTTTTATACAGAAGTTATCAAATGAGAAAGCTATAAAACCTCATTCTAGTTTTTTTTGTTGTTCTTTTTTTTATTTTGTGTGCCAATGGATATATCTCGAGGCAAAAACCTTGAATTATGTCAATCCTTAGAGAAAAGAGTGAGTATTTTTATTCACAGAATGGTGGGCATCAGAGCTTGAGAGGTCATTTTAGTACATCTACTTTTTCCCAAAGCAGACTTGTTCCTTATAGTGAAGGGTTTATTGCAAGGAACTAAACACAGCTGAGCTCAGGACAGGAGGCACCATATGCACTGCTACAACACCAAACCTTCATTGGTCGTGCATCATTTATAAACTTGATTTAAGCCTCATGGGAACATTAATAAGCATATGAAACTATCAAAACTGGCCCATTTTAGCCAGAAGCTAACTTCAGCTTCTATCACAATGATCAGGCAGGGGAAAGGAGTGGTGAAGAATTCTCTGCAATAGAAACATCCCCAAAAGTTAATGCTCACACTGACTATTTGGATAGGAAGCTTAATGACTTAAAATAAGCCTGTGAGCAATCCACACCTTCTGTTGCAGTTTGAAAAGAATTGAAATTCTGAAGGAAAATGGCAATTCTAAATTAAAGCTTGTATTGACTGTGTCTCATTAAAACGCTCACAGTCCATAAAGCAAACCTCTCCACACCAGACCTAGACAATGCAGACTCTCAGCGGCATCTTGCTGCTACTCATTTCCAAGGGAACAAATCTCAATTCTGACCACAATATCTTTTAAACCCTTTTTTTTTTCTGAACTGTCATGTTAAAGGGACCATTCACTACCTCCTTGTTGCAGAAAATGGTTCCTATATTAAGCCATGAGATCACTGAAAAATTAAATGGCCCATTACTCTGCATAAGTAAGGATTTGTTAAAAGGTCGGGAAGTGCAAGAGTTTACTTGAATATTCTGTGAGTTAAATAAATTAAATATTAAAAAGCCCATATAGCATTTGAAGTATTGAAGTACACATTTTGAAAATGTAGGATTATATAGTAGCAGTGTGAGAGATAGTTTATCTCAATTCTTAATGTATTTAAGAATTCATTATCAATTTAAAAGTCACTAATATGACATGTTAACTCACAGCAGTTCCACACACTCCATCGAGATCCCTCTGTTCTTGTGGAAATAACATTAGAAGCTAAAAGGAAAAAAAAAATACCCCAAGCCCCTAGTGTTTAAACAAATAAATCTGACCTCATACCTCTTGGGGTTTGCTGTCCAGTGGCTGTGGAACTGACAAGTTTCTGAACTTCAGTTGAATAGGCTTATCAAAAACGGGTGTACAATAAGTCACTGTCTGTTCCACCTCTCCTGGAAGAACTGAATAAAAAATAGTCAACATTAACCTTCCAGTCAACGTATAAATTAGCAAAATCTTGTTAAAATCTTGTACTGCTCAGAACACAAGCAGAATCTTGTTAGTCAAAGTGTGCTGTACTCATTGTTGCATAAGCTATCATTAAAACAGATCTATGCAGTCCTAAGCTACGATCTAAATAGTAATACTATACTAAGCAAAAATCAAGGTAGGTCTTCTTTCTTGAGGATGCTGCATAAAAAAATCTGGATGTAGATGCTCTTAAGCTCAGAGAACACCTGGGATTACACCCATTTTATTCATAACAAAGATGGAAGGTCCTGAGCAGAGATGTCTCCAGTAGAAGTTATAAAATGCCTCATTTGCCATTGACTAGCCGGGTAGGCTCATTCATTTCTCATCACCTGTACACTGGGCATTAAGAATCATTGTAAAGCATCCTAATATGACTCTCCCAAAACATGAAGTAAAAATACCTGGTAGAAGTACTAATATTCCCCACTACAGTGCCAGATGACTCTCTCGTCCAAGGATATTTCATGGATGTTTTTTCCTCCCTGAACTTTCCAAAAAGAGGTACTTGAGAGGACTTCCCCATATCTGGGATAGAGCAACATGTGACCTGTCCATGCGGGCAGGATTTGGCCTACAGTTCACAAATGCACAGCCTTTTTGAATCGCTCTTCCTTTACAAACTTAAGCAAAACACTGGGAACAGTGGGTTTGCATTCTGTGACAGATCAGAAGGATATGCCTTAGGTTGAAAAATATCTTTTAACATGAATCAATCTCAGCTCTGCTACAGCACAGATGCGTCCATCTTGTCTCAGTAATGTTTTTATGAAAGAACTTAAGGGGACCATATGTCTTGCAATTTAGTCAAAGAATTATGTAAATCTACCTGCTATTTTTTTCCATCTGATACACAAGTATCTTTACAGTTTTACACTACATTTACATTCCTCTTGAAATTTCAGAATAAATTTTCAAAGCATTGCTTAAATGTTAGTTAATGGAACCAATAAGAGTATACAGAGATGCAGGGTGGAAAGGATGAAGTTACTATTTAACTCTACCTGCATAATTTTACCAAAGTAGTGGAGTTATGGACCTCTCATTCTTCTGTGAATCTGCATTTGAAAATAATGATTTCCTAGCTAGGCCTTTGTAAAAAAAGCCATGATCAAATTCTTCATTTAGCTTTCTTCTGGGAATAGTGTACTATTTCAAAGCCAACAGGGTTTGGAGTTGCAAAGTAAAATGTTCTTTTAAAAGGAGTTGAATTAATTCCCTTGAGTATTTCATTCCTGGATTTTTGTTTCTTGGTTCATATTCACACATAAGTGGTTTCATTTTCATACCTATTCTCTTGGTTGTGTATGTCAATCTCTAGCCACCTATGCGCTTTCAGTACTTGTTCTCAGCATAGCATCTGTTCTGATTCTGCACCAGTTATATGAGAAAGCTTCCTGAAAAGGACAGCACAGTCCACGGGTATCTATGTCTTCACATGCTCTGCACCTCCTTTTTTCATAATTTGGGTCAAAACTATTTGTAGGACAGAAGGAAGATGAGAATGCTTATTTAAAGACAATGGTATCTTCCAGTATTGTTTCAAACATGCACCCTAAATCCAGACTCTCACTAAAGTAAGGGAAGTCTGGACATAAAGAGGTTTGTATCACCTCCTGATATAAACACTGATTATTTCTGCACTAAGAGCTTCTCCCCCTCAACAGCCCAATCCAGAGAGAGAAGATGAGGAGGAAGCACTGTTATACAACAGTCTGGCAATGGCTCAGAAAGATAACTCTTAAGAATTAGGACAACAGAAGGAAACTTATTTTTGCTTTTAGCGAGAAGTGCTTGTCATACTCAGAATGTCAATTCCACTTTTTAAGGCTTGTTAGAAATGCAAATAATGTTTCAAATTCCCTTCAATCACCCCATAAGAATGTAATCAACCTTTGTTTGCCAGTAGACATGCCAGAAATGAGCTTTGCCTCTCTCTATCCTGGCTGTGTGACAGCATATGAAAGTCTAATTGGTAAATGCTGCTTTCCCTGATAATGTTTAATAAAGAAACTCCTTCAGAGAGAAAAATTAGAGAGTTTTGACAGTCCTTCTCAGTGGGAGAACCCAAAGGAACTCCAGGCTATTGTAAGTTCTAGCCAGTACCTCACAGCTTGTTTAGGCTGCTGCTACAGCACTACTGGATGATGATCCTAATTAAGCTGCTAATTATGTTCTCTGTGGAGGTGATTAATTAGCAACAGGAAAGCCTTGGATACTGCCAACGGCACCATATATAGAAATAACTGAACAGGCAGTGATATCAAAAAAACTGAGAAGACATTTTGAAATGCACCTCTCATATCATAAAGAATCAACTCCCTGGATGATATAGCAGTGAACACCAATGATTTTACTCAAGTCCAGCATACTTTAGTGAGGGCACATTTGGAAACTGAACAATTCTCTTTAGTCCCTCCCCTCTCAAAACCCAGAAAGTGATTACTTAATCTGTCAACAGTGCTGAGTTGGACTTTTTGCTTATTGTGTACCATTAATTATAGGTGTAGAAAAAAAATCTACTGGCACAGGTCTGCTTCGAACTTTCAAAAGTAAAGAACTTCAAAGTCCTGTCTATATCTTTAACTTTATGGTAGCCAAATAATGCCCAAATATATATGCACTGACACAGATTTTACCACTTTCAGACACTACATTTCACAAAAATGCTGCTGATGGGGAGCTGAGAAGGGAGGCAATGATAACAAAAAAAGCTTAAAAGCTAAATTTTGCAGTCTCCTCTGATTCTCATGCTTCAGGCTGTTAGTCCCAAAGAGCTGCCGAGTGTGAAATCATCTCAAGGCAGTGCTAAATGGATTGCAGAGACTGGAGGAGAAAAACAAGAAAGGGATTCACCAGCTGGGGGGAGCCCCGTACTTAGAAAAATCCACCTAATTTAACTCTGAATCCTCTTCCTCAATCTGACTTTTCTGGAGGTAAGCATAGACTCAAAATATAAATGAAAAAGGCACAGATTATGAAAAATAACAGATATTGATATAATTTGCCTAAAGAATTATTTAATTAATCAATAGTTATGCTTCGCCTCAGCTTCAAAGTAACTGAGTCAATTGGGTTCTCCTCAGCCTCTGTAGGGTTACAGACAACCAGGACCTTGAAAAGATAAATTTGCAGTAACTCAGTGTTCCAAGCTGGACTAGGATGAGACTGCCATCCTTGCCTATATAGTCTCAACCATATATTTAATTAGTCCTGTTGTAATTTTAATTAATTTAATTTTAATTTTCTCTTGTATTTAAAAAATAGCACACTCCAGGTCACTAGATATGCTTTTTACATATTTTGTACTTTATACAAATATTACCTATTATTACCTAACTACCCTTCAAGCCCTGAAGCAAGAGATTTGTAACCAGAGCTGGAAAGGAATTCTGTTGATCAAACACAGGGCAACACAAGCACTAGGTATTCTCCATCTATCCCTGGAGAAAGCCTGATCATCTCTATTGTTGCCTTAAGCAACTTACAGTTACAGATTAAATGCAGTCAGAAAGAGCGATTAAACAGTTCACCATACACACGCTGTCTCTACACAAAGCATTAAAGTTATGGTTTATAGTTTAGGGCAACAATTTTACTTTGCCAATCATGGTTTACTGTGCCAAAGTCCCACAATGCAAAGCATTGCCCTGGTTTCAGGCTTTCAGCCCAGTGATGTCAAAGAAAAACAGCCACAATGAATTTGCATATTGGCCAACTCCATGGGCTGTTTTTTATTTGTAAGAAGCAGCTGCATGCATTCACACCTTAAAAGACATTGAACTTTGCAAAATACATCAGAAAAAGAAAAAAAAACACTAGAATGACTCTTCCAGGACATTTCCCAAAAAGCACTAGTTTATATGAGATATTTTAACACCTATTTTCTATCATGCTTTTCACACTTGTCAACTTTGAGCCACTTGCCCCTAGGTGCGAATATTTATTATATTAATGTACAGTTGCTAACTTAGCTAACTGATCTGCCCTTTACAGCTAAATGAAGCACAGAGATAAAAGCTTGTGGCAATTACACTAGCAAGGTATGATATTTTTTACTGTGTAAAAAAAGATACAATATTTTTAGCTTGTTTTGTCAATATGAAGTCTTAAATCAATCATTTGTTCTGACATATAGGTGGCAGCATTTACAAATGCCAACAAAAGAATGTCTTTCAAATTTGTGTCACACTTTGCCTCATTTATAAACTAACTAGAATTCTTCAGAATTAATCCTTATTAAGGTGGTCAATAGGGATATTATTTTAGATTACTTTATTATTGCAAACAATAGAAGTGACACCATTTTATATTTTAAATTGCATTTTGTTGCTATGGCTTCTAATTTTACCTCTCTTATTATGAAGCCTTTCAAGTGGATTTTGACATGTAAGACAACCATCAAGCTATAAGTGCTATTTTCTGCACGTAGGAGTCAAGGGGAAATTTTTTACCCTGACTTAACAATGATCTCCACTGAAGAAGCCCCAGGCAAAATTCAGGCTGTGCGTTTCCCAGGTATAAATTTCGATGCTGTTCGCTTTCCTTACAGAGTTTAAAAGGAATAATAAGTTTCTGGCTCAGCAGTGTTTCCATGCTGTAAAATGCAATCTAAATGCTTAACGTTGTGATGAGTCTTGTTGATACAGTTTCTTTTTGCACTAAGGCAAGTCTGCCTCAAATGAAGTGTGTTTTACTAGGGGTTTCTAAACGTATGTGATTGATATTTACTCTTGCACACACACAAATACACAGAAATGACCCAAAAGCTGGATAAAGGCAAGGTCTGTCATCATTCCGAATGTGACGAGCTAACCCCAAGCACTAGCAGAGCTCTTCTTTCCTCACAGTTCCACTCAGTATTTTAGTGTTGAGCTTAATTCTCAGCAATCAATTTGGGGCCTGTTTGGAACTCGCAATATCTAACCATACTTTAATGAACTAGATATAGACAATTATCATTTCATTATGACACAAGTGAATTTTTTATGCTTACACCAGTAAGCTCCAGGGTCTTTTTAACAGATATTACTAGAATTTAAGGCATAAACACAGAACAATGGTCTATGAAGGGAAAAACGGGCACATATGAGCACTGCACTCAAGAGAAATCTTTGATGTCTGTACCTGATACAGCACTGCTGTCTTCCTACCTCCTTTCTGAAATGTCCAGGTTGAAGTAAGAATATTTGCCGTAAACTTGACTTATGTTTATTAGGTTTATTATTCTCTTATGAGAAACTAGAAGTCTCTAAGCCCTCTGACTTCATAGGAATTCTGCATATACAGAAAGACTAATCAAATCTTTACTGTAAGAGTGGACAGACCAATCAAACGGCAACGAGTAAGAAACCAAGGATCAAAGTCCTGCTCGGTAGCAGCTTCTGTCAGTGACCTCAGGCAAATCCCTTAATCTGTGTGGCTTGGTTTCTTTACACAATCACACGTATAGATGAGGAAAATTAATTTAAACACAAAAGAGTATCAATTCTGGTGGCAATAAAAAACACACAAGGACTAATGATAGACAAACAACTATAGACATTAACATTTCATTTATTTTTCAGAGGTGGGAGAGTTAAAATTATTATAGACATATTCAACAATTCAACACAACTCAAAATGCTCATAATTGGAACTCTTAAAGAACTTCACTGTGAATTCAAAGTTAGTCTCAACTATTTTAAGCCCAGGATGGAATCATTTTAATAGGTAGGGACAACATTTTCATTAAATACTTCCACTTTACAGAACTGTCTCTTAGCACCCAAACGCTGTGTAAAAATCTTCTTTAATCAAAATAATTTCAATACAAAACAGAAGTGCAGAAAAATGCAGAAATGTTGCTAACAAGAAGTGCTCTGCACTTCTAAAAATCTTGACAAAAATAACTGTTCACAAGGACACAGTTTAATAAATATTCCTTTTTATTTATTTTCTCATTACCTCTTAAGAGTGAGGAAATGAGTACTTTAATTTGGGGAATTGGGGCAATGTGGGGAATTTTCTGGCAATAGAAGAACTGAGGAATATCATCGCTTTTAGAGAAGACACAGTTCTTTAATTAATGTTCATACTCTTGCATTCAAAGAAACATGTTCATGTTCATACTCTTTAATCATGTTCATACACTTGCATTCAAAGACAGAAAATGACAGTGAATATGGAGAGAGGAAACCTACCACTGCATGTCTCTTCATCTGAGTCTATATCTTCCCAATCTAAGTACTTGTCCACTTGCTGTAAAAAACCCAAATTCCAAAATAGATTAAAATGTATTAATTCCATTCCTTTTAGTACAACCTAGAGCAAAGCAAAAACGCACTAAATTGTCTGCTTCATCTTCTCTATTCTCCCCTGCATTTTTCTAAGAAAGAATATGTATTTTCTTTGAAATGTGTAAACCAAAGGAAATACTTTTAGGTATAGGCAAAGAATTGCTGCCAAAATTGCCGCATATCAATGTAAGTGATGGGAAAGAAGCTCAAGCTCTACAGCAACTTTTTCAGGAACTCAGTGGAAAGATGGAGAAGTAAAATATTTTCAAAGGAAAAAGATAAATGATAAGTTACTATGCAATTTTGCAAGTTCACATCATATGGCACAGAGACAGTACACACTGTAGGCAAACTAGAGCTTGATCCTTCTGTTTTGACATTAATGGTGAACTGATTGGGAAGTAAAAAAGCTAAGAATAATTAAGTTTCTAGTATTTCATCTGGGACATTGCTCTACTGTTTTTTTAGACTGATGTTCCTTGAAAACAGGCTAAACCATCTAAAAGGTACCACAAGAAAAGGCATTTGTCATTTCAAGTATCACTTTGAATAGACACACAGGGTGAAAGGCCTTTGCCAGCCTATATGTAAGTAGTGTTACCATGGAGGATTTACTATATGCACTGAGTTGTCTGCTGTGTTTCTATGAAGTATTTAGAAATGCTCTTTGATAACTTTTTCCAACCTGGTTTGACAACATTCTCATCAAGAGTTACATAACCTTTACACTCTAAAAGTACATACTCACTAATATTTGAAAAATTTTTGGATTTCTCTCATTGTTCTTTCCCACAGATGGGAAATAAATACATCAACAAATGGCAAGTAATTTATAAGTTAATAAAGCAAAAATCAGTCATGTTCTGATCATAATCTCCACTCTGAAAAAAATCAAAGAAAACCCCACCTTCACTCTTTCAGACAGACTGAGATTCTTTCCCTCTGATCTACCAGCTTTCCATCTCTCATTCATCATTGTCTGCAGGTAGATAGGCAGAAATACCTACATGCACAAACCAAAACCAAAGTAAGTCAAAGCTTGTACTGATTTACACATACAGTTCACAGAATCACAGAATAGGTAAGGTTGGAAGGGACCACTGGAGGTCATCTTGTCTAACTTCCCTACTCAAGCAGTGTCCCCTAGAACACATTACTCAGGATTGTGTTCAGACAGCTTTATATATGTTGTATATAAAAATTTTTAAGAAGTGAATGCAATGCTTTTGAAAATAAAACGGATGCAGGTATTTCCCTGAAAACCTACACAGGACCAGACTGAATCAATTGGAACAACAATGCAAGTAACCATAACATGCCTAAAAAGCAGCATTTAGAGGAGTAGCACTGTTTCCAATAGCAGTTTTTTCCCCTCTTTCCTTTCCTCAGGGCAGGCTTAAAGATCACAGTGGTCAATTTACCCCATTACAGCCTCCTCCTGCTACTACACTAGCAATTTTTCTAATGCATTCTACTATCATTGTATTTGTTTCTTAAACTGCAAATGTGGCAAAAATGTGCAGCCATGTCTGAAGCTTTTTTCCTTAGATACAAAGACAAGCATTAAGATGTTCTATTAGAAAAAGGATACTGGAATTCACACATTGCTTTATGGGGCAGAAAGACAATTCAAGAGAAAGACAGACTATCCCAATGAAGCAACACTATTCTTCACAAAAAAAAATGTTAAAAAGAATCTTGTCATTATTATTACACAATTAACTGACAGAATGTGATTGTTTTAAAAGCCTTGCTTGATTCCACCTCAAGTGGAATAGTCCTAGTGGGGAGGAAAATGGCATTTTGTGCTCTGACTGAGGCCTGGCAGGCCCACCATTTGAAGACCCCTAAGTGTGTTGCTCTGTGTATTGCACAAAAGGACCTGCTACTTCTATTTTAATAAAAACTTTAATGAAGGGAAATTTTGAGTACAGACTAGATCCCAGCTTTGTCACTTTGTTCAGGTAGGAGGGCAGAAGTTCTTAACAAGTTGACTCAGATTTCCATCTCACTCTCTCCAGAAGATGTCTGTTGTTTTCCTGTCTCTACACGTTAAATCCCTAATCTCATATGTTTCAGAAGACTAAAAATGCCTCTGGCCTGCCTACTGTTTACTTAGGCATTACTTCAGGCACCTGAAGTAATCCAGCTTCGGTAACACAGAACTCCATACTTCCTAAAATCTACAAGAAACAAAATAAATCTCTAGGTGCTGGCATCCATACTCTCAAGATTTCTTTTCCTTTTTGCCAACCTCTACTGCTAACTGCAGTCTTCGGCAAAAGCATCACATGGCTCATTGCAGGGCACCTTATTTAATAGTCGGATTATGGCAGCTCTTCAGCAAGGCAAATGCCACTGCCAAACACGATCCCTGCAGGTGCCTCTCTAAGCATTAAACACTTACATAGTATTTTAAATATTTGCCTCGAATCAGATAAATACCACTAGCCTCTAACATTTGAACAGTGTATCTCTTCATATTTTCATCTCTTTGAATGTGGTGCCTGTGCACTTGGACAGTTGTAACTCCTTACCTTATTCTCATTTGGCATCTGTGATGGAAGAGATACCCACATTTCTTTGCTTCTTTCAGGTGAGCCATTCTGTTTATTTCTGTTTGATAATTCAGAAGTAGAAAATATTTTTCTTAAGTAGTCCACTTTATTTCCTTGAATTGTCTTCTCCTCTTTCTCTGCAAGGAGAATCACACCAGGTCAGATAACATAAAGCACTACCCAAGAAAAAGAAAAACATGTATTTCCTTAGATCTAATATTGACTTATTTTGCACATTCACTTTTCCTCTCATGCTCAGAGCTTCCATGTGCAACATAAACAAGTATTTTGCAGCCCTTATCATAAAACCGAATATTCAAGTGCATATTCCTCCATACTGAAGACTTAATTCTCTCAAAAGCTTATGCAATGTACAGAAAAATTTATAAAACCAACCAAGAGCTGAAATACCCAAAAAAGCAAGACAGTAGAATTATACCTTAGCTTTTTTTCTAAAACTTTACTTAAATTCTCTCTCAATTCTGGACAAAATGGCACACAACATGTGTGCCCATGTCTTCATCTGACACTGTAAACACCAATATATATGAAGAGTCTCTTCTTTGAGACGCTACTATACACCAGTCCAATGGCAACTGCACTCCCAACACTTATATCTCTAATTGTAAAAGTCCATCAATGATGCTTACATGGGATCTGTGCTTACAAAATCACTTGACTTGTCAAGGAGATAACTAATCAATGATGTATCTTCTGACCAAGCACAAGAAAGAGCTCTGATGTTGATCACAGTACAGAGATGATCTGGGCCACAAATGGAGTAATTCTTACACTTTCTACATCAGTATCTTGGTTCACATGTGAACCTCACAACCACTAAAACAAATGCCATGTTGTCTAGCACAGAAGTGAGCTTTGGCAGTTCTTCTCAGAGCTGGTACTGATACTGGCTGGTCCAGGGTCAGCATTCACAGAGCTCCTGGGTGTCCACGGACACCACCACTAGAACCTCCACCACTCCTCCACCAGTCCAGAGCTGTGTGATGAGATGAACTGACAGGTCCTATAATTCAACTCCTGTGTCTTTAGTTAGTAAAACACCTCATTTCTTTACACAGTGTTGCTTTCAGTGTTTAACAGCTATAGAATGCTCAGCAATCTGAGGGGAAAATTTTGCAACTAAATACTTTTTTATTGGGATCAGACTAACAAACAGCAGTATGCCAGTGATACTTCATTGCCAAAAGTTTAGGCCCAGAAATTAAAGAACAAATATAGATGTTCAAGCAGGGTTTGTTCCCTTAAGAAATTCCTTTGGTCTTGAAAGACAGACTGGAAAAATGTTTTGACAGTGTATTTACAGAAGATCAGAATAACTTCTCTTGGGCTTATTTTATACATCAACAGTGGCTAATTGAGCCCTCATTGAAAATAAGGAAGTATTCAGAAACAGAACTGAGTATTTCAATGATAATTTTTGACATCTTTCAGACCTTTAACAACTCCTTGGACAACAACAGCAAAGTTAAGACAACTATAAGAGCTTCTGACTGTCCAACCAGCCAGGGCCCCAAGGCACAAAGACTTAGGCTACATCTAGGTGATCATCAAATGAAATGTCAACAGTACTGACTGGATCTAGGAGCTGCTTACAGACAAGTATGTGCATGGATGTATGGATTTCCAAATCCATGCTGTATAGTTGGGTTTTTTCCCTTCAACATGGCAAAAAATATAGTAATCATGGCAAAAATAAAAAAGCAGTACTTTTTCTTTTAAAAGTCCCATTATCAAATATGAAGCAGCTACAGGACAATCAGTTCAAAAAAACTTCACACCATATTCTCTTAATGAAAAACAAAATGCTCATTCAATGAAGTTTTTTGGGTTTAGTTTAAAAAATCCGCTTTGCAACAACAAGAAACACTGTAGTGCATTTCTAAAGCATAATTATATGTTACAAGCATTGAAGTAATTCTTGTGGAGAGTACTAATGATGCCCTTGGGGTTACTACACTGAGCCATACGGCAGAATTCTTAATACCCTGGGACAGCTCTGTGCTGCCGTTATTGTGACACACAGAAAGGACTGGCAGACTGGGTATAACCTGAAGTCCACACTCTTATATAAAGTAAGGTTCATAGAAAGAAAATTGCACCAGACCAGAGCAACCTAGCAAACAGATTTTAATGTTCACATCACAGATGGATTCTCTGAATAAATCCCAGGACTCTGTGACATGTGGCTTCTCCCCACTTTTTTAGCAAGTACTTTCCTAAAACAATATTTGGATACAGCAGTACATATGAGCAATCTCTTCCTCCTACACACTCTCTTTTTCAAGCCATGGAAATGAAGCAGCATTAGACAAGAAACCCTCTTCTAAATTCTTGACTGCTAAAATCATTACCCACTATTTGAAGAGACTTTTACAGTCACCCTACTTCATAGGAAGAACTAGATGGCTATCTCAAAAAGCTTCAAGTTTTTGTTACTGTAGTAGTAAAGCATGGATGGACATCCTGTTTTATACAAAGAACTTGCAAGTTTTATCTTAAAGACTGACAAGACACGAAAGGATATTAGTGTATTTTAAGGTAAGTGTATATTGGTGAATTACTGCAGCCAAACATCTGCAGACCTATAGAGTAACGAGGGACTGAGGACCCAGTATCCTCCCTGTCCACACCAGGAGCATTTATGTATGAGAAGTGATAAAAAGCTTCCAGAAGCCATACAATTTTGTCAGCCAGACCAACAGAGAGACAAAAGAAATCATCACTGGAATGATCAGCAACATAATTCATACAGATGACAGACTCTAAACAAACATGATATTCCTGTACTAGCCTGTGCTTATTTTGGATACCACTGTGGTCATTCTTCTGGGATATAAATCAGATCATTCTTCTTCAAAATACAGGTTCTGAATTTTCCAAAGAAAAATATCATTTTTAGCATCAAAAGACCTATGACACATAGTTGGGCAGTTATAATTAGGCAGTACATATGAGCTGACAAACTTCCTTTATTAGGTTATATATTTTCTGGACAGCTGAGCTATTGTCACAGCTAAAAAGCTAGATAGATTAAATGAGCTGGTAAGAAATCAAGTGCATTCATAGTCTTTATGTGCCATTTACCAACTCCCAGACTACAGCTAGAAGCATTATCCCTTTTCCGAAGAGATCAGTCATAAACTTTTGTCAGAAACCTTTTTCTGGTTAAGACCATTGCAGAGTTATTGGGTTACAGAATATTAAACATTACTTTTGATGAAACATTCCAACTGCAATGTGATACTAGATTAATGACCGCAAGTGAAGAAAAATTCAGAAAAAAAATGCCTAAGCAACCCAAAGCAGTTGTTAAAAGCAAGTCTGCAGACAGAATATCAACTATGCAACCATGAGCATAATGAGGCCATGCCATATAAATTAAAGGGGGGAAGGTAAATTAAACATTATGTTGCTAGCCTCAAGCACGGTGCCTCAGGACCAGTGAGATCCACCTTCAGATGTCCAAAGTAATTACCTACACCTACAGCTTCCCAATGCATGTATCACTTAACTGGCTCCCTTGAAACAGATAACAGTCATGATCTTACAAAATATTATTAAAAACAACACACATAAGTTATTATAAAGTTAAGGAAACTACAATCTGTAGTAGCAGACAAATATCACACGTGTATTTCTTTGCTAGTGTTCTGAATTTCAACCATTTCTGTTCCTGTTTCTGAAAAAGGGGAAAAAGGAAGGATCACATTCAAGCCAGCAAGCAAATCACTCTGCCTTTCCCCTGACTAAGTGATAATTGACTCATTATTCACAGTCACAGCTCTCAACCTGCCAAGATCCTTTTGTAGAACACCGGCCTTCACAACATGTGACTTAAATCAAAAATAAGGGATACAAACACAACAGAATGTAGCAGAGGAAGAAAGTTGAAATGATGGAAAGATTCACATATTCATCCTGCAGACAGATTTTGTCTCACTTTTTAGACAATTTACTGTCTGTACCTTAAAAATGAAGTAAGAAGCCAACTTAGGTCTCTAGAAAAGTATATCTGAGTCTCTCAAGAGAAGTATCCATCATAATGGAGTGTCACCAAAGAGTATGGTGAACACTTCAGAAACATGTTTGTATCAGAAAGTATATGAAGCTTGATAAATTATTTTCTCTCCTGCTATCTATCCTCGATATTGCTTAAAATTGTCTTCCAATTTGGAAGGGAATCTTTTGAAAATGTCCACTGATCACTCACATCTTTCAAAGAATATTGGATTCACTTATCACAAAAGCAGAGAAGAGAGCTACCTGTATTATCAGGAAAAACTTACTGTCAGTGTAATCTGTTAGATGACATAGTAGTCCCAGAAGAATGATAAAAGTCTCATGGTCTGAAACATGTCAAAACCAGACCAGACAGAGCAATCAGTAACATAATATAGAAAATCTGGCTTGGGATAACACACTGCACAAAACAATACAAACTACTAAATATTTCCCACCTTTTTTTCAATTGGATTAATTCATTCCAAAAACAAAAACTGGCTGAGAATTATAAACAGACCCCTTAACTATAAAACAACAACAAAAAAAAACATACAGGAAAGCTACTACTATAAGTTCCAACTTACTTTTTTATCTTCAAATCCTGGACTGAGGGCCAGCAGAAGGCCTGTGAATCCCTTAAATCCTTTCCAAGTTATGCTTTGATGAAAAACCTGGGATTCAAATACTACAGTGACTTTGTACAGGACTCCTGAACAAACAACAATTTTAATCAGAGTAGCATAATAACTGTCTTGAACAGAGGTCACAAGTACAAATTTCATGTTCATTCACTATCTCCATTCTTCAAACCCATCATCAGCAAACAAGCACATTTTAAAACAAGAACAAAGACTGTCACTGAAATGTTTCCATAAAATATCACTTTGACATGTTCTCAAGGTGGTAAAATACTGTAGAAGTACCTGTATTTACCTATTTGTAACTATGTAAACTGTTGTACCGCGCTGAGTCCATCTACCCTAAAAGACAAGCTGTAAGAGGTAAAAAACCGAAATTTCAAGGCTTAAAATCCAATTTGCTGGGAAGATAATTTTTAAAGCCTTCTATCAATTTTTGATAACACAGTCAAAGCAGCCCCCAGATTTTCTGCAGT